CATTCATTCATTCATTCATTCATTCATTCATTAATCCATGAAACAAAATTGCAGCCAGTAAATATTACAGAGAAATTACTGTTTATATTTTAGCTTTATACAATGATCAGAATACGCAGTAGATTTTCTACCATTCCTGTCAAAACGTATATGGATAAATATGACATCGTGACAGTGAGTCATGGAGTAGATAGGCTGCCACTTTACATCTGGTTTGGAAGTCACATCGAAATCAAGATTACCGGTTCAATGATTCCTGCAGCTCGTACCTTGAGATATACGTCGCTCTCGTTGACCTTAAGATGAGGCAACAGCGTATAATGGAAAAAAACTCCTTCCAGGTTACGGAAAACCAACGGGATGCACATAGGTCATAAGATGATACATGCAAGCTGACGCAAAGCTTTGCATCATTTTTCTAGTATCCTGATATAGATGATAAATATGTGGTAACAATTTGCTCCACAAACGTTCTTGAACAACTATAAGGTACGATGGAATGTGCTTGTTGATACTAAACATCGTCTGCTGTAAGAAACTAACATAATCTCGTAGCGCTATCTAAAGTTCACAAGTGTCTACCGCGACCGCCAGAATCAGGAGAGAGGATGACACTGTGACAGAAGAAGTAGACCATTTCAAGTACGTAACTAATAACGACGGCACTGAGATTGACGTGAAATGACGCACTGGACCGGTATCAATGAATTTCGACGAGCCAAATGGCACATGGAAAGATTATACTGTAGGAATGTCTATGAAGATTACTTCGATGAAAGCAGTCGTAATTGCGATGCCTGTGTACAATCTAGAACTACCCTCTGCGGTTCCGAAGACTAATGTAATTCGCTTCGAAAGTTTGAAACAAAGCCCCATGTGAAGTATGCTCAAAGTTTTGCGCCATCCCCGGTTTGATAAAGCTGTAAGAAGGTCTCTGAGACCATAGCCTTGGTTGGTTTGATAAAACAGCCCTCAAAGAGGACGTTAAATGTGTTTATAACTCTTCACGCGTTGCAATCATTCACTATCCGAGACACAATACAAAACCTGAAAATACCCCGCTGAGGCAGACTTGTTTCCAGCGACCAATATGACCTTGTCGCAGCAGTGAAGCAGTGAACGCTTCCTACGACTACTCTGGGACAACACTTTAAACAACCAGATATCATAATTCTGGGCTACTCTGTTGACTAAATTTGTCATCTTTCCACTGCAATGGCTCAGTAACAATGAAATATTATTTCACTGTTGTTGTCTCTACATTAGTAGGCTGCTAGTAGTGCTTGCTCAGAAAAGGCACTGTTTTGTTGCTTTGGTATTCTGGCCATGTGCCAGAGAAATATTCAGTCCATCCTTAAATGCCGTCATATTCTAAATGAATCATCATTAATAGCATCACATCGCCATGACTGCTATCAGTCACATTAATGATCTTCGTTGTTATGATTATCATTTCTACAAGAACCAGAGAACGAATCATCATTATCATCTTAATCAACATATTCATTATTATTATCACCATCATTCTCGCCACAACCATAATCATAATAAACTTAATCTGAATATTGTAAAAAACATCATTAAGCATCGTGGACTGAATTTCAAAACTAATGTGTGCCAGCTGCTTTTAAACTGTTGCATATTAATGAAAAGCAAGATAATTAAGTTCTGAATATTTATGTACATCATATATAATCTATACACTTTTGGTTATCTCTGGACTCGTACGCGGCT